GGTCCTGCTTTGGGTACGAGTACCGGGGACCGAATCGTCGTTCTTTTCTGGTTGGGGAGGGATGTGCACAGCACAGCCAAGCCGGGCCTCAGGCCTGTCCCTCAGTTACGTAGCAAAGAGTCGAACTTTGCAGCGTGGGAAAGTGAAAGTGAAAGTGAGTACGTATGTATGTATGTGTGTTTATATACATATATATATATATATACACGCATATACAAGCTGTGCCCGAAGAGCTTCGCAGCGTACTTATGCCAAGTTATGCATGACATATTTTTACATTGTGTGCTACGTATATACAGAATACTTTATACACATATATATATATATATACATATATGTGCATACAAAATATACGTGAAATGAACATGATACATGCACACATATTATACACCATATCGTTACCTATGCCTTGTTTCATATCCTGTATATACTTCATCTGGTGTGTCGTGAAATGATGTGCTTTGATGTAGTTTTCTGCATGTATATATGCATAAGTTCTATATGCGTGTATCATATGTCTGTGCATACAGACATATATACATATATATGTAATTACATATTTATATATGTGTGTATATATGTATGGCTATCAGGCACATGATGACAAGAGCAAACTGCCGAAGCCTGGCCCGAGGCTGAATCACGTCTTCCTTGCTATCCAGTTCCACACGCCGGACAGTGTCAATGCCATCACGCGCTCGAACTCGTTTTTCTCGACGGGAAGCAAACTCCCTAAGGGAGAGGCGCCTCCAGGCGGGACCTTCACGCATGCGCGGTAGTGGGTGGAGATGGGTCGAAAGCCAAAAAGTCAAGTCAAGTCTCTAGCTAAGCTTCGTGGTTAATAGACATGTGCTTTGTTTTGCGCTGGAGCCCAGGTCTGATGTTGCTATTCGAGCCGCGCCCGCATGCGGATAGCCAAAGTATCAACAGCTTCTTCCGGGTGCTTCTTAATGCCGCTCAGTTCGCAAGCGTCATGTTGTCTGCACTAGCACATAGGGCTTTGGGATTTAGGGGTCGGGGGCTGGTCGGAACAGAGCATCCTTAAAGGGGCAGCGGAAGGGTGCAAACATATTGCATTTGCTTGCCAGGCCTTGGCGAAAACTGCATTGTTGCATTTTAGTATCTGGCATGACGGAATTCAGTGCTCGGGTGACTCGGGTTGCCAGGCTTGCAACTCTAGGTCGGATGATATTTAGTCTTGATGTCATGGATCTTATCGTTGGATACGGGGAGAACAGGCTGAGGATGTTGAACTTTGGGATGCAGTTCAACGTACGGCTGAGTTATGCGAGGTTGGAAAGTCGCATGAAGCCAACCAGCTGTCCAGCTTGTCATAGTTCGCAACTTAAGCAGGTAACCTCTCGACCCTTCAGCTATCAACCGGTATACCTAAGCTTTTGGGTTTCTGTCGTCGTAAGGTCAAGCCTGCACATGCAAGACTGTTTGTTTGGGATTTTTGGAGCGTTGCTGGCCGGTTGGCAGTTTAGCTTTTGTAGTGGAACGCTAAGTTTCGAGGAGTGAGCAAAATCCCAACTTCAGCGGAAAATCCGACTGTACGAGGCCATTCGTAAGAGCTTCCAGGACAAGTTTGACCACGGCCTCGTCGGGGGCCAGGCTGCCGATGCATTCGCATGTTCTCTGCTGACCAGGGTTCTAACGACTGCCAACACGATGATGACTTCTACACCTGCGAGCACGATAAGTACGAAAATAGCAAAGCAATAAGTCCAACAGAATTCACATCACCGACCCCATCACCATCACGGTCATACCGTCATCACCCCCTCCTTTGCGGCGGGAGGCCTACAGCTGGCTGATGTCCGCTGTGGATGAGGCCATGGACTGCGCTACGCAGGAGCTGAACTCGCGGCAGGCGCTGTCGGATCTGGAAAACGGAGGGGGCCGTCTGTGAAGCATTTGTAAGTGCTGTAAAGTCCTTTCCTCATGTTTTTCGATTGCAGGTCTAATGGACGCGGCGAATACTACTACCACACGACGATCATGTTATAGCTGCTGTCATGCATCGCTGTTGTGGTTATTGCTGCCGTATGTTGATTGGTAGTAGTATCGTAGTATCCATGTGGTACTCCTGGTAGCGACACCCCTACGATATTTCCTCGGGTTGTTGTCACGGATTTTGTGCTGCGTCCTACTGTCGTAATCAGGGCTATTCAGAATTCTAGGGCTTCCTAGACCCTGACCCCCAAAGCCCTAATGGCCCTAAGAAAGCCCAAAGCCCAAAGCCATAGCCTCCTTTGCAGAGGTGGAAGATTTCATGGATGAGGAGATGAAGGCCGTGCATTCCAAGGCCAGTCGAGGCCTGCCACCGGGCTGCAAGCAGAGCCGCGGAGCCGCACAATCTCTTCCTAGTGTCCTGTGAGCTCTTTGGGCCTCTTTATCGGGTTCTTGGAGTTTGAGCTTCGGGTTTCAACGGCTTTCTGGACTGTTGGGGCTTAGGGGCTAGTTGGGTGGGAAGGGATTCAATGCCAACCTGCTAGCTGATTGTGCCGGGGCGGCGGGCGCGGCACAGTGCCGGGGGGATGAAGCTTTTTCCAATGAAATCAGCCCTGCGACCGCGCCCCCCCGTCTCGCGGGCCGCCGCTGCCCCTCCCCTCAAAAACAACAGAAATAAGTCATAAGTTTACAGACTGTGCCTAGAGGCTTTCTTGCCCGCTGCAGAGCGCAGAGCCGTGAGGGCCACCGCGACCTTCCTCGCTTCCTCCTGGAAGCGCTGGGATGGCCTTCGGCGCAGTGGACTTCGTTCTAAAAACGGGCGTTTCCCGCTACCAAACTTCTGTAGCTGGTTCAGGCGAGGTCCGCTCAACCTGCTGGCTCATTGTTGTGAGGAACCGTTTCGAGCCACTTTCCCATGATGTGGTATCTCATGGTTCCGTCTAGATTGCGGCCATTCCAGCTCGTACAGGCCACCGGCACAGCAGTGCCGCTAAACCGCCCCACGCTGCCCCCACCACTCCCAAAATAACCGCACAAGAAAATGAGATGTGCTACAGAGTTAAAGAAAAGGTTTGTTCTAGGGCCTAGGGCCGTGGTTAAAGGCTTCACTGAGTTTCGCTGTGGTAATGAAGCCAGTAGTAAACAATCCACAAATGCCCGACAGCAAAGGCTTATGGATATCCTGCAGCCCGTCCTGATCGAGTACCTCTGCCTTCAGAAGCTTTGCTCCCTTGGCAGCTTTTGAGCTTCTGCGCCGTACATTAGTTCACCATACCTTCCATAAATTCAACCCGAGCCCCGTACGCGGCCTAAACTCTTCAAGACCCGTGCCCCATTGAAAACCCGCCTGAACCAGGTCAAAGCTCAACGTCCAGGGCACTGGTTTTCTAGACCCCTGAAGCCAAACATGGAAACCGCCCGCTTATGCCTGAACCCAGATCGCGCGTGCAACTCTGACACTCCTGAAAATTCAAAGCCCGGCTGAACCTTACGAAGCCGCTGAATCGGCCGAGGAAGCACGTTGGTCACAGCACCTTGCTTGCTGTTGAATTTTGTTCACTGAAAGAGTTTCACATCAATAGGAATCCGTCTAAACGCGAAACTAAAGTTTTAGGGATTCGGGATGGGTTGAGGGTTCAGGGTGCTCGGGATCCTGATACCCATCGTAGAGTGCAGCCATTCCAGGCACCCTGCTGGACCGCGTTGCCGAGACGGTGTCGGCTGCCAAAGCGTTCGCTTACCACACAGCGAAGGCCACAAGCGCTTAAGGTTGGCCAGAACTCCTTGAGCCCAGTAGCAGAAGAGTTTTTCGACTTACAGCCGGAACTCCGAAGGTTTTGTGGTTTGGAGTTTTACACCAAGCTGGAAACAAAGAGCCGGAAACGCCCTCATAGTGGACTCTCCGCACGATGTCTATAGTAATTCAACAATTTGACGATAGGACTGTTGTTCGAGCACCTGAAATACAACGGGCCCTACAAAAATCGCTTAAGCACCCCATGCCCTAAGTTTTTCGCAGACGCAAGGCGAAAGTCGAGACTCTGTGGGCGTTCATCGAGACTCATGAGGAACTGCTGGGCACTTCGATGTCCATTGAATCTCGGCCTCGTGCTATTTCTGCACGACGGCTCTCTCACTTGGATGCGCAAATGTTTGTTAACTTATGGTCAGGTCTCCCTGGGGGCTGTGGATTTGGGGCGCTCACCTGATATCTTACACCATCAGACTTCAAGCCCCTCAGCCCCAAGGAACGATACCCGGCCCTGGTGGAGTGCATCAACCGCGTGATTGAGACTGCCCGTGCCGATCTGGCCATTCTGGCAGAAACGATGCCCCTCCGCTACTTCTTCAGCAACTGGGCTGTGGTAAAAGCAGGAGCGGGCCTAATTGCTGCTCGCCTACAGATTGCATGCGTTGTGTAAAGGGCTACAGCCAAGGCAAGCACGGGATGGCGCTGCGCATCATTTTGCCTCATGGTTGCAATGCTCAAGCGTTCGGGAGTTTTTGCTTCTTCCCCGTTCAAGATAGCCTTTTGCGTTGCTCCACGATGCTGTCGTGATGTTTAAAAAAAAGTAAGATCTGGCAAGACGTGTCATGTCCAGTCGCAGAAATGAGCCGAGGCACAACCGCGTCACTCAACTGGCCCGTGCCGCCAGCAAAGGCTGGATTACAGACCAAGAGGCCGAGGTGCTCATCGGCGAGCTTCAAGCACGGATCCGAGAGGCCAACAACTTCTACCCTCGAAGCACCTACATCCGGCTCCTTGCCTCGGAAGTGACAGACCACGAGGGTGGGCATATACATACCTTCCGTAGCTGTTTCGGGTTTTGAGAGCATGAAAGCCATACATACAACTCGGTCGCGCGACTGGTGAGTCGAGGCTCGCCTGCTCGCGCAGCTGTGGGCCCAAGTTTGGTGCTCAGCCGCCGCTTAGCTCTCCTTCGTCAAGCTTTTGCCTATTCTAAGCCGAGCAAGTTCCAAAACCTGTGAGCCCTTGATCCTAAACTCCACAACCCTCATCAGCAAGGAGCCCGCAAGACTAACACACCGCGCCACCCCCTCACTACCGAAGAGGCAGAAGAACGCCTGGGACGACTTCGACCTCGCCCTGCAGCCCTCCTTCGGTCAGGGCGTTTACATCCCCGAGGCCCGAGGCGGCAAAAGGCTTCGCTTCCTGCGAGTTTCGAAAAAGACCACATGGACCCCAGGGTCGAGGCATTCAGGCATTCCAACAGTTTGTTGCTCGCGACAGGGGGCATGTTTCGAGTTCATGGGACCCAGTAAGTACCCCTAGCGGCAACACAAAAAGCGCCGCGAACCGGACCTCCAAGTCAAGTCCCGAAGCGACGGCCCAGGCAGAGGCAACACCGGTTTTCACATCGGAAGGTGTGAAGTTTCCACTGTGAGCCCTCTTTTGGCAATTTCGGTCAAGAGAGGCGTTTTAGGTGTGGGGAGCAGGGGAGGTTTCCAGTTGCCTGGATAGTAAAGCCAGTGATGAAGGTTTTCGTGCAATAGTAATGGTGATAGTTGGTATTTGGGGATAGTGCCAGCAGCAGGTCATAGACCCGCAGAAACAGCATGCTGCAGTTTTAGCTCCCGGACAAGCACGGACTTTGGTCAAGGCCCCAGTTTGGACCCCGCGACTCTTGCACGCCACGTCAAACTCCATAGTGCCATGTTTGCATATGCCCAGTTCTAGTTCATATCCACTAGTGACAGGTGTGTTTGCCGGAAACGTTCCTTCGAGTCGGGTTACCAGGATGCTCAAGTTTGAAAATGTGTACTGCACTGCCATGTAGAAAAGGGGATCCGAACTGAGGTCTCTCATCGAAATCCCTGCATCACTTTAAGTAAGATTTAGGGCTACCGTGATTTTGACGCGTCTCCCCGGTGCGAGGGCCTTCTGCGCTCGCGCAGACAGGTGCTGCGGGGGACGTTTTGTCTCCATGCCTGCAATCTCTTTGGGACTTGGGCTTCTCATGTAATGATCACCGTAGCCATGCAGATGAAGAATCTGACAAAACACGAAAGTTATAAACTGTAGCAACCCCTGAGCCCTTCTCTCTGTCGAGATCGCTTTGGAGTGGAGAGCAAGCCGACTGTAAGCTCGCTGCTCGTGGTGGAGCCAATCACAGCCTCTCTTCGGGCAGACTGCTCGAACTGAGAGTTTCCGTCCTTTGCCCGGGTTTCGGAGTGTAGGAGCCTCAAGAAGTGCTGGGTAGCATTCCGGTGAACACCCTGTAGATGCATGGCCAAGTTTTGCAGCTCATGCTGGTAGCTGTATAGTTGTGATCTTGGCGTTATTCGGCTTGAGAGGGTCTTCCGGGGGACTCCTTGTAGTGGTAAGCTCCTCTCTATCTCGCCTTTAATCTTGAAGGGAACTTGGAACTTGAACTTAGAATGGCACGAGTAAGCCGCATCAAGCTTTGCCAGACGCCATCACACGTCACAAGCTTGTGTTTCATCCTTCATGCTGCTTCAACCATACCTGACAGAGTCTCAGCAAGCTGGCAGTTGGCAGCCGAGTTCTCGTGGTAATGTTTCCAAATTCCAGGCTTGCAGGGCCACGATTTCAAACACGCACTCGTGAGCTTTGGCTTCCACAAAGATCTGAGTTTTTATTTGGGCCTCGGGCAAGACGGGAGGGCTGTCGAGTTCAGAGCGAGATGCAGCCAGTTGGCTCGAGTGACCCTTAACGCCAGCTGTGTGCAGAAAGATGTCCGGCCTTTGCATCATGCTGAGATTGCTGCCTTAGGTTCCAAGCATTAAATCAGTAAACCCGAGGCCTGAATCCTGCAATCTCCGCCTAGCAAGCAAGGCATAGCATGTGCTCAGATTCAGGGAGTTCAGATGGGAGTCAGGCTAGTGCCGGGGTGGGGCCCTGATACTCAGCCCCATAACCGTCTCTTGCATCGTTCCATATCGTTCCCGAACCCTATTCCCACTTCTGCGAGTCCCACCATGGCTCTGAACCCCTTAACCGCCGAAGGCCCTCGAAAGTGTAAGCGGTTGAGAATCAGGCATGGGAGGTAGTATGCTGCGAGCCCAGCTGAGCAGACAATGCGGTTTGGTTCGCCCCAGTACCCCACTGAAAATGTCCAGCGAAACGACGGAACCTCCCACGCATGCCCTCATACGAGATTTCTAGGTTCTATCTTCAACCCTCACTCGACGACTCGAAGTCCTGTCAACTCACCACAGTACTTGATGAAGGAAATCTGGAGGTTTTGGCAACAATCTAAAACAATACGGTCGACGTGGAGAAAGCTCGCAATAACCATGCAGCATGCTCATTTGCATGCTCGAAAGCCTACACGAAACCTTTTAGCAGATGTTCTGAACAAATGGCTGTGAAGAGTCATGCATCTCCGCAGTGAAACCGTCGAGCAAAGCCCGACGAAGTATCAATGAGCTAATTGCTCAACAAGCTTGGTTACATCATCTTCTACGGTAGTGTAGTGTGCACAACACAGACATCTTGAAGCAAGTGTTCTGGAGCCTGTCAGGCTGCAACTCCTGAACTCTCGGAGCGCTACCCGAAGCCCTCGCGCCAAAGCCCTCTTCCCTTTGCACCAGTAGCCTTCGACTTAATAATAGCCCTTTGTAGTACCTCATAGTAACCTCTATCATGCCTTCCCTAAACCCTAAACCCTAAACATCCCTAAACCCTAAACCCTAAACCCTATATTTACGACCTTGCCACGACCTTCCCACGCCTACGAGTGGCCAGGTGGAGCTTCTGGACGGCTCAGAGCGCCTCTCACACCACCTCATGAGCAAAGCAATCCAGGACGCCCCCCCGAGATGTCATGGTTGCGGCGGCTATATAATGCCAAAGCAAAGAAGAATCCCACCCCGAGTTCGACTCTCTTACTCGTACTGCTGGCTCTTCTAGATAATGGTGACATGCCAAAACAAACATGACTGTTATGACACTTGCAGCTTTTGTCGAGCATAGTGATAGGTGGGACTGGTAATACCACCGGATGGCGCAGCAAAACTAGCCCAACTAAAGTTCTGCGGTGGCTGAGCAGAAAGAAAGAGGTTGAGCTCAAGCCTTAACGCCTTGTTTTCGTTGAACAGCGTGCCAAGTAGATGCCGTCATACATGCACACACATCAGCAAGCAGATATGATGAATGCATCCAGCTGCCCTTGTATATATGATCCGGTTCTCGGTGCACCGACCCCCTCCCCGCATCGTATCCACCCCCTTTGCAGCAGACCAAATCCCCAAACACCCCAAGCAGACCCAAACACGCAGGGGTGACCCACCACAAGCAAACCCAAACCCACACCACCCACAGGGCCACACCACACCACACCACACCACACCACAGGTGAGGGATTGTTTTTGTTTTTTTGGGCGAGGCCCGGCATCCGCATCTATATAGGCATAATACATGCGAGATAATGCGAGTGTTTCTTTAAACTCTCATGTATGCTTCTGCTTTGCAAACTACCACATGGCTGTCCTTCTGTTAAATCATCCCTGTTTGCCTTCCTGCCAAAAAAACGGAAGTGTCCCTTAACCAAAGGGGTACACGCAAGATGAGTTTAGTCGTCTTCGCGCCTCCACCTCTGCCCTAGTTTCTACATCGCCTGACTTTCAAAACACAGCAAGATCTCCACATCCACTCCCAGGTTCCCTGAAAGCCCGACGCTCTGCCTGTCCCAGCCTTCAGCAGGAGTGCCCCACCAGTGGCTTGCTTTGGGCGAAGGCCGCAGCTCCCTTTGCGCAGTTGGAGCAGGGTTAGAGATTTTCCTAGACCCGACGATTTGAGAATCCGAACCATTTCTGTTGAGGACAAGAGTTTGAGGGCGATGTGTGTGCTCAGAGGCAGTTTAGAGCTTACCAGCGGTGTGGAGCTTACACCCTATAAACTCCAAACCCGAGCAAGTCCCAGTAAATCTTCTTGCAGGCCATCGAGCTGGAACCAAAGCAGGGCCAGAACGCAAAGAGCAGGGGGCCCTGAGCGACATGCGGGTTATTATTTAATCTGTATGGCCGTCTTGGAGTTTTGCATCAGGAAGTCAGGAACGTTTCTTCCAGCAACTTCATACCAGTAAGACAATCTGAAATGCGCGAGCTCTCGGTAACCCGTTTGTGACCATGTAGGTAAGCTCAGAGTTCTGGGCTTTGCAGTTTAGTCGGTTTCCCAGGATTTTGAGTATTGAGTTGCATATCTAGGAATCTTGTTTGCTGTAGGTCCATGCCGGGTTTGCGCTCCGTATGTGCTGACAGATTCAGTTGCTACGCCTAGCCCGAAAGCTCCCACCGTACAAGACTAAATCCAAACCCTAATCCAAAAGCCCAGCTAGAAGCAGCCAGAGAGCCGAATGCCCCTCCAGATTGTTGGAAGATGCATACTCCTGAAAAGTTGTGTAAGGCTCTCCCTAGATCACAGAAGAGGATCTCAAGGCTTGATCCTAAATCGAGCCGATCTCTCAGCGTACTTATCGCCCAACTTTCAGCCCCGAGCATAACTATCAAAGATATTATACCCCCATTGTCCTTGCGAAGACGCATGCCACTGCACCCGCAGACCAGCCTTACCTGCACGCAGCGCCCTCTATTCAGATAGAACCCCTGACAGATACAGAGCTACCATAGAATGCGGCTTTGAGCCGAAAATTCCCAGGCGTCGATGCCCTCAAGAAATGCGAGAACGATGCGCACCTCAGCTGCAGATTCATGTAGCGACAGCAAACTGGTCCGTGGTACTTAGGGCCTAGGTCATCGTAATTGTTTGAACTCGTACTGCCGCCAAGTTCTCCACGCTCTTGTCGCCCTAGATGGCTTCGGGGTTGAAAGAGTTCTAATGGAAAGGAAACCTCTCCTTTCTGCCAATACCTGGGACCTGCTGCACCTGTGATAGCAAACTACATGACGACTACGACAGGAGCTTCGGCATCACATTTCCCAGTAGACCAGACCGGAAGTAAACTTCTGTGGTGGAAAAAAGTCTTTTTGATGGTAAGGTGCGCTGAACTTGGCGCACGAGCGTCCCAAGAAAAACGATGTCGACATTAGAGTTCTGGGATGCAGGCATGTCATCATCGCTGTGGCAAAGCTCTTCTGGCGCGATGGCAAGAATGCCAAAGCTCGAAAATGGCATCGGGCTTAGTCCGACGTTCCTGAATGCACTTTTGCATTTCCGGGTGGTGAAGGCAGACTGTCTCGATACCCAAGTCCCGCAGCCCACCCCAAAACCTGAAGGGCGTGAGGCCAGATCTCGATGCATTCAGTCCTTCGCAGCTCGCCCTTTGCGGCTCACGACTTGTGCTGTTTGAAAATGCTGTGCTGGGCCTTCAGCTTTAGGCACCGCTTCTGCAATCGGAGGCGTGCTGCAACAGGTTCCAACCTCTCCCATGAACCCCTCCCGCTGACCGTCAGAAAACCCGCACAACATCCTGGAGCGGATCCAACACAAGCTGCCCGAGCAACAGTTCATGTGTGATTACGATTGCGGCGGGTGGTAGGAATACAACATCAAGCAGCAACAAGACTCGAAGAAAGAAGTATGGCATATAACCGAAGGTTCAACCGAGCGGTGACGCTGAACCCTAGGCTCGGCGATGCCAGGCTCCCAGCTCGTTTCCAGGAAGTTTCTTGGGGTGTCTCTGAATTCCTCCCAGCCATCCTTCCGAGATCCCGGAAAAAAGTTCAAACGAAACCCCCAAGTAAGGTCCCAGAGCTTCAATCCCTAACTTAAGGCTCCAACCTGAAAACAAAACGGTTGACGGCTACTCCATTCTGTCATTACAGAAGTCACCTGTTGTTCCTGGAATTTCAGGTTTTTCCTCTAACAGATGCCTATACCGACGACTCTAAAACTCCAAACTTCTACCGGGCAGGAATGATTAGGAGGAGAACCGATAGTGAAGCAGGGCTCCTATTTGGATTATGGTTTTGATATACCCCAGGCGTTGTCATTCCGATCTGCAGCCTTCCTATCAACGTACATACTGCATCATCGGAAATCTGAGGCTTGGGGGGCCTACCTGGGCTTCGAGCTCGAGAACGGCACTTCCCACGAGCAACGAGAGGAGGGGTTTAAGCTGTAGCTTCTGAGCGTTTGGTTTCGTATTTCTGTATGTTCCATTCAGAGAGGGCAATCTGAGATAGGAAGGTAGGTACGCAATGGGAACCTGGTTTTCCGACTATCCTTAACGCTGACACTGACACAGGTGATCCGCAAGTGTGTGGATGCCGAGCCCAACCAGGCACCAGGGACCGGATGAATGGGTTTTGTAAGTTCGCGGACCACAACTTTTGAAGCTGCAACATCAACAGCCAATCGACAGCCGAAGTCAGGGCAATCCTCGTCGCCACAGCGGAAGCAAGTTTTTGCCCTGCAAGTACAAAGGGTTTCACCCTTGAGATGTAGGACTAACTCCTTGGGGTCTCTGAGTCTCTGGCGAGGAGACCACTGACACACCCAATACTCGCATCCTTCATGAATAGCGCCCGATTCCGACTCCACCCGGCATCTTCAAAAGACATGGGTCTTGAACTTTGTTTTTGAGTTGGCCCAACTTCATCCACGGGGAAGAGTTGACCGTTGAAGCGCCTGGGGTTCGGCTGTTTCGGAGTGGCTAAGTCATGCAAGCTCTCAGTCTTCGCGGGCATGGGGAGCTGTGAGCCTGCAGAGGCAGCCCCGATTCCGCACGTCACACCCTCGTCTCGGCAACCGTGTCTTTGCACAGGGCCTTGAGTGGAACAAGACCGTCAAGAAGGTGGCGAACTGGCGCGCGAAGTGGGCGAGCGGCTCATAACCAGAGGTTCGGTTGAGGAAATCTGCAAGATGTTACGTAGGGTCTCGAGGGTCCCAGGGAGTGGTGGCCGCTCGCGGCTGTGAGAGCAGGCTATGCGTGCTTCTGGCTTCTAGAGCTCATCATCGCTACTGCCATCAGTTTCTAAACCCCGTAACGTCAGAGACCCAAGGCCGTGAAGCTGAAGCGCTTCGTCGAGGAGGCAGCTGACAGGGTGGGTTTTCGGCTGCCGCTCAAGAGAAGATGCCGCCAATCTGCCACCTTTGGTTGCTGCGGCTCTGACTTTGAAACGCAAGAAATTGCTGGAAACCAAAGAATTGGCGAAAACATGAATAAGTCGACTCATGGCCACGGAGAGTAGATTGTTGGAACGGTAGCCCTTGCGAACAGAAGGAAGTTACCCAAAGGAAGCAGCCTTCAAACAATTCCACTAAGTCACGTAGACCCCGAGGCCTCCTGCGGAGGTATGAGCCACATCAAGCAAGAGAGAGAAACGCGGCTGCCGGACTCAGGAAGGAAGGAAGGAAGGAAGGAAGGAAGGAAAGCAGAGAGAGAAAAGGAACATGGACCCCGACACTTCAAGCCCCCTCTGTTGATGGTGCAGTGAAGTGTGAGAACACGTATCATGACAAAAAGGTAAGAGGAGTGCAAGCAGGTATAGTCGAGAGTATCTGTTAAGGCTTTATTGTAGACATGATAGTTGAGTTGAGAAGTTTAGACACGGTCAACCATGAAACCCCGGCAAAGACTGAAAGCCCGAACCTTCAAACCCTAGCCAAGATTTAGTGGCGCTGCTGCTGTCCAGGTCTACCCAACAGAGTTCAACGCCAAGCCGCTGAACCGCGAGGCCGTTCGGAAAGCTCCGGTGTAGCAAGAAGAAAGAGACTCGACCCTCTTCAGCATGTAGAGCCTGAACTGAACAGCTGTTTTCTTGCTACAATGCAAGTATTCCGTTTTTCACGAGAGGTGTTTGTTTTCAACCCCGCTATCTGGAGGAGAACGGACTCTGAGGAAGAGAAAAGGAAAGTTCCCGGTGTGTCTGCCCCCGCAGCCCAAAAAACCGTTGAATCCCTGAAGGCCTGCAGTTTCTGTTGCTGGCTGTGCGAAACAGAAAGCCAGCTTTTCGAAGTTCAAGTGCTGCGGTTGTTTTTGTTTTGCACCTCCGAAGCCCTAAACCCTAAACCTGCACCTTCAGGTGGAGCTGCTTTTGCAGGGCGAGGACCCGTACGCTGCCATGGCGACAGCCCAAGAGGAGGTCCCGGCTGGGCTTTCGGAGTATGGTTCCATTCATTCTCTGGTCGTTCTTTCGTATTCAAACGTCGGAAGATCAAACTTGTCATCGCTGCTATTGTGAAGATTTGTGTATCTATTGTTATTGTCGTAACCCATTGTGGCATGCTTGCTATGTTCGAGCACTTCAATAAGTTTAGGGTGTCAAGGCTTCAGCGCACTTGACCCTCACTTCTTGCAAGGAGCTTCTTGTGACTATTCTCTTCCGAACTGAGGAAACTTCCTCGAAGCAGCTTCTTAAGAAGCATGGGCTTTAGGGTGCCGTAAACTGTCCATGGCTCAGAACAAGCCCCACATGAAGGGCTGGATTTGTTGGGTGTGATTTGCGCTTTGCGTAGTGCTTCCATTTGGGCCACAACGTGGAATGGCCTACTTCTTGATGTTTCTTGATTCTGGAGAAAGACTCAGGGGCAAACATACCTTCTCATGTAAACTAAACCCATTCACTACCGGCGCAGGCAGCTGCAGAGAAGGACGAGCTGGACATCAAGGACGAGGCCTGCTGCGAGCTTTCGGCAGCACAGGGCTATACCCAGATCACGCGCAGATTTAATTGCACCTAGTCCTGTCTGGGTGCATCTTCGTGTCAGGATATGTTCGTTTGAGCCTGCTGTATATTTCTGTACACTTGCACGTGTCAATGTTTACAGCCAGAGAGCGAGGGAGAGAGAGAGAGAGACGGGGAGAGGGAGAGAGAGCGAGAGAGGGTCACATGTCATTACTTGGTATATCTCTACATACTTTCCTTTTTCCCCGAAAACACTCCGGTGGTCCTAAACCTTAAACTTTAGAACCCTGACACCCTGATGAATTTTCAGAAGCTCTGCTCTGCCAGGGCGGTGTGAAGCAGGAGTCCTTCGAGCCTGCTCTGAACCCAGCAGGGCCAAAACGATCTCTTCGGTTAGGGGTTTAGGGTTTAGGGTTTAGGTTTTGCTGGTCTTAGCATCTCATTCCCGTCTCAGCAATTACACTTTGGTGTGGTAGCTGCTGGTACTGTCGGCGTGGTTACAGTTGCTGCTGCTGCTGCTGCTGCTACGTTTACTCTCACTTTTTGCTGCGATGCATTTTTCTATTTACGGCTGTGTCGCGTGCCCTTTCATTTTTGGTTGATAGTCTTTTTACCAGTCCTTTGTAAGTCTTGCTAATTGCCTTCATGTCTGATGTTGTCACTCGCTATCAGTAATAGCAGCACCAGCACGTTGCTTCTTCGGGTGCGTATTACAGCTGTCGCGAGAGGATGGGTTTCGAACCTGCAGAAGTAGAGACTTCGTACCTGTTTTCCGAGTCGGACGCTTGAAAAGCCCTACAGCCCTTCGTTTGGCAACCTGAAACCAGAGGCAGTGCGCCCGAATCATTCCGGATCGCAAACGCTCTATGACGACTTTAGCAGCACGGCGCACCGCAAGTCGTGGCCTGACTACTGATATTACCTCGGCCTTATGAAGATGACGATGGTGATGACCATACATCATACATAGGTTCGAAGTTCCGCACTTTTAGGGTTTCGGACTGGCCCCCAAAAACTCAAACAGCTTTAGTGTATAAGCCCGAAGGTACTTGTAGCTCTTGAAGGCTGTTGGGTGTTTGGTGTCGCGTTACGGATTTATAGCTTTCAGGTTTTGGATTCCTGCCTTTACATGTCTGGGTTCTGAAATACTTCTAATTTCGGGAGTATCGCAAGCCCTTGCTTGGAGGTTCGGGAACCTAGTAAAGGCTACAGAAAATGATAGTATAGTACATTCCCGACAGCATCGGCAACATTCTTCAGCCTCAGAAGTACACAGAGGTAAGTCTCCCGATCCTCCACGTATCTTCCAGCCTTCCCGATCCACACCCAAGACCTAAACCCGAAACCGAAAGCCTGAAGCCCTACACCCAAAAGCTTAAAAACGAGGCTACGACCTTCCAGGGAGCCAAACCCGGCTGGTGCTTCAAGATGGGTCCGAGCCCCTTTTGGGACTTGAGGTGTTCGGTTACAGAGTTTTCGGATTCAGAGTTGCGAGCTTAATGGCCTAGGGTTAAAAGTGGTGATTGCTGATTGCTTCACATTTTTGTTCGCCTTTGTGTCGGGTATTTCTCCGAGAGTGCTGTGAGGGGCTGTATCATGTTCTTTGGTACTGCGTAGTGGCATGGTAGTTGTTTTGTTTCTTCGTGGTGATGCTTGGCGTGCGTGTTCTTGCCCGAACTTGCGTGTGTCTTGGTTCGGGGCTGGGTTGCAGGGTTTTCCAAAAGAACTTGTCGTAGGAACCTGATCTTCTGAAGCCGCCGTGCAAGCTTGTTGAAACGGGTGTGGGTGTTCAGGGTTTAAGTTGTAGCTTTTGTCGGTAGTTCAAGCCCATGGCGTATGAGTAAAACGCGGAGTATCTCCAATCTAAGGAGGTGCCCTGCAAGTGCTGTTTCAGAGTAGGGGTGTCCTGACGGTGCTAAGGACTCCCCAAGACGAGTGCAAAGCCTGCTGAACACTAAACAGAACACTAAACGTTCGTGTGTTGCCGACAAGAATGACAACAAGGAACAGCTACAGTAACATTTCCGTTCAGGTACGGAGGTGAAGGCGGTGTGGATTATGAAATCATAGTGAACCCCTTATGACTTGGGTCCGGCACCAAGTTGGCCACCCCAAATCGATATCGCCGCTTCAAAGGCATGCGTGGCCTTGGCTACTACCGCGATCCCAAGCAAGACCAAGGCGCAGGCATCAAGGGGGCCTCTCAGCAAGCAAGTGAGTACACAGGGTGTTTGGGTCGCTGCCTTACCTGGCTTCGGTTTCTATGTCTGCAAAATCCGTTTAGGATTATGATACTCTTTACCCCAAGGAGAGTTTATTATGTACCTGGGCACCGGCATCAATCAACTTGCTTTCTGCCTTGGATTTGGGATGAATCTTCGGGTGCAGCTGGACGGTTTTTTCAGCGGGGCTGCTTCACATGTAGACGGCTTCAAAAAACAACGGTGGACAAGAATATTTGGAGAATGACGGGAGTTGATGGTTCTGGGCAACTCCAAGCAGGGCACTAAACATCCAATATTGCCAACGGTATTATTGGCAACAATAGGGTCAGCAACATGACAGCTCAACAACAATCTTGATCGGAAATACGACAACTCAGGCATGCTTTTGCAATGGACTCCACACTGGACCTAAGACCGCGCACTCTATCATTTTTGAACTGGAATCAGACCAAGGAAGTCAAGCAGGAGGGCAAGGCCAAGGTCAAGGAGGAGGACGAGAAGAAGTGAGCAGAGTTGCTCTTGGCTTCGGACTCCATGCGGCTGTTGTGCAAGAGGTAGCACTGCGATTTCACGCCTTGTTCCTCGCTTGGATCCATGTCGGACAAGTGCTGTGCTCCTCGCACCTACAATGCCAACGGAGCTGCATTGCCGAATCGTTCATCCCGGAAACTATGGAAAAGCTTGCCATTCCTTAATCCAGAATCGCATCAGCCCAAATGTTAGCATGGATTGGAATGCTGCTCACTCAAGACATCAAGGTCACAGCCGAGACAGCTGGCAGAACAAAAGGGCGCATTCTGCTGAAAGCTTGCTGTGATGTATGTAAGAGGTCGGTGGCTGTCTTGTCATGGCTTCGATCTGTCCTGTTCGTAAACTCAACATCGACGCGGCACACGCAGCAAGTCACACAACGATGGGATGCCGGCTCATGTGTTCCGATAAACCACGCTCAGGCCTTGCGAATGCAAACCTTGGCAACCACCCCATTTCTTGGAATCGTTGATCAAACTTCATGGAGGCTGTCGTGATAAGATGACACCCTGCGGACTGTCGGGATGGATTCGTGACGAATTGCCACGGGAGATGCGTCAGTCTCAGAATGCCAGGCGAAGCTTTCTTCCTTTATCGCGTTTTGTCTCAGGACCTCCACGTGTCGCATGATTTGGTCGAGGCATTGCCATCCGTCTCCGTCATTTCTGCCTACAGGTCATGACGACAACAAGGATCCTTAATCTGCGCAAGGATTCCATTTCCGCCTTTACCGTAGCAGCTGCCTGACGTGGTGCAAGGCACAGTCGAACGTGCCACGAGGGTGTGTTCTAGTGTAAAGCACATCTTGTCCTGACCTTCTGCGCTCCTTGTCAAAGCGGAAGCCTGGGAAGGCCATCGCGAATGCCGCGAAATCTGATACGGCATTGACGGCCGGTGCCATTCGTGCCACAATGCCACGGCAGTCGACCTCTGTCCAAAATGTGTTGTCGGAAACAAAAAGAGATGCAGGAACAGCATGCGACATGGAACGAAGGCTTGACACCAGCATGAATCAGGAAAATACGATGCGACAGCACGCAACACGAGGAGTAAGTCGTCGTCGCCACGACAACAGACGAGCACACCAAAGGAAAGTACGGCAGGACAGCAGGGGACAGGCGACCATGATGCGGGCGAAATCACATACAGCACGAGGACACGTCGAACTCAGCACCGCACACCTCAATACAAGATGCGAGAAGACATCGGACATTTAAACACGGAACACCCACACCAACACTGAATACCAGGTTAGGTTGGTAAACACGAAGACAACATAAGCGAGGAACGCCCATCCTTTCATGGTTTGCCTCCAGCTCTGTGTTCCCGCCGCGTGGGCCAGCCTGCCTCGTCCGCTGTTTGGCCGGGCATCGGTTTGCACACGGGCCGCCAGCACTGTGAAGTTGCGCGTGGCGTGTGCGGGGCCGCACCTCACTTGCTTGGACAATTCCGGACATTCTCTACGGCACCGGAATGACGATGGTGGCGTCGAGCGTGAGCCGCGCCCCGTGCCAGAGGGGAGGGGGCGTTCGCGACGACCTCAATGCAACATGCTGACGGGAACATCGATGTTCATGTCAGTGGCCCTAACGTTGCGTGCAGCGCGCGCACGACTGCGGGAGAGCTCCCGACGCTACCAAGCCGGACGCTGGCTAAGCGGTGGTCACTTAGCGGGTCGAGGCGGCCTCGGCACGTGATTGGCGCCAGTGGGAGCGGCAGTCACAGCCGTCCTACTACTACGAGGCCCTGTAAGCGGCAGGTGCGCCGGAGGCGGCAGAATGCAGGCCCCAAGCCGCGCGGAGTCCACGCAGTGGCGAGACACAACGGCGAGATCGTGCTCGCGGGAGCTTTCGACCGTGCGGTGCGGAAGCAGCATACGGAGCAGGTAGTCGGTGCGGGGCGTCCCAAGTGGCCCTCCCGGGCACGACGAGCCCTCGGCGCTCTGGCGGCAGGGTCCAGGCTCCGACCCAAACGTCAGCGGCGCAGGTTGGGTTGGCCTGGAGCGCGGCAAGCTTTGTCGGCTCCTTTGCCTGCCGCGTTCCAAACCCGGCTCTTGCCTTGGTTGAGCAGGACGCCATACAGGGTGGCGACGCGCTCCGAAGGGCAGACGAAGTAGGTGTCGCCTAGGAAGGCAAAGACACCCTCGCCTGGCTGCAGTGCGCTCGCGATGTTGTGGAGGCCAGCATGCTCGGCCACTGCTTACAGCGCAGGCATGGGAGCATCGCGTTGCTCTCTGCCCTCCGCTTGCAAGACTTCGCGTTCGGTCCCCGCGTCGCCCGTTCAAACGTAGCTGCTTGCGCTGCCGCAGAAATCTGCAGAACTGGCGAGCGAACGGAAATAAAGGTGCAAGCTGAGGACGCGAGCGCAACCCTTCGAGCATGGCCTGCCGGGAAACATGGTCGAACGCACCGACAGCGTCGACCGACAGGATGGATGGTGCGAGGGTTGCACTCGGTGCGAGGGTTGAAAAGCCTTGTCAAGGGCCTTGGTGCCTGGGGCGCGTCGGCGAAGTGCTGGGCCAAGGTTCGGGGAACAAGGCGGCGAAAGACGTCCCGGACCACAAGGATGCGCACACGTCCACTCGGCTTCCGGAGCGCGACAAATCGACCAAAGCACGTGGCTGCCAGTACATGCGCCGGCACGTCAGAACAGGGCGAGGTCGCTAGGGTCGTCTAATGTGCGAAGGTGCTCACTCGTCATGCCAGAAGGGCCGGCGGCCGAGCCTAGTTGCAAGACCACTTTTTCAACCGTAGACGTCGACTCATGTGCTGGATAGGCGGATTCCAATTGCGCAAAGACCCATCAAGCCCCGAAGATGGTCCAAACCACGCTTCAAAGCAATCGTCGCCACTCTGAGCCCAACTTGCGCAGGTAATGTCAAGATATTTAGCGATGCCCAGCGGCATCGAGAAAAGTTTGACTCGAGCCAACGTCGCAGCAGTCGCTCGGTCGCTTTCGCCGAAACCCTGAAACCCTACAGCTTTAAAGCCCTAAACCCTAAACCCTAAAACCCTACGGCCCTAAAGCCCTACAACCCATGTCGCGTGTAAAGCCAAGAATTACGCTCGCCGGGCACCGAGCCCGGCGCATCTTGCCAAGGCAATGGTGCGGGGTTGTTGGGTGCGCAGGGTGGCACCACCTCGCCTCCATCATGGGGTGTGTGTGTGTGTGTGTG